AATATAAATAAATTTTCAAAAATCTTTGTCAACTTACCTGACTAAGATTTTCTCCGTTAGTTTGGTGCGTATGAATGTTGTTGTTGTTGTTGTTATTGGTATTGTTATTGTTGATAGTATTATTATTATTGCTATTGCTGTTATTGTTATTATTATTATTCGGATACTGATTATGATGATTTCGATTCAAGTTGTTGTTGAATTCCATTTGGTCGAAATCGTTGAATATGCTTAGATCAAATTTCGTTGAAGTGCGCTGTTGTTGTAGTTGTTCTTGTTGGTCTGATGATAAATGAATTTGCAGTTGTTGCTGCTGCTGATGCGGTTGTTGTTGTTGTTGTATTGAATATTGCGGATCAAATATGCTGTGTAAATCCAACAGACCGGAACTTTGCGATAGAAACGAAAGCGCCATCCGGTTTAAAAATATATGCAATTTTTCTCCACTAATTCTTCCTTATTTTACCAAATGTTTTTTATTTCTTATTTTTTTTTAAACAATTTTACTCAACTTTAATTATAAATAAACGAATTTATAGTCTATTGTTTTTGTCCACAAGAACCGTTAGTACGCACTTTCAGAAACACGGGGTATTCCAGGGTATCACCCTCGGCGAGCTTTCGCGTGCAATTTTGTCAAGCTTTTGCGGGCCACTTAAAAATTATTTTGAATATGTCTTCAAGGGTTTTTGTTTTGACTTAGTTGTAAGCAACAAACAATAAGAAGTAAAAGGGAATTGGAGGTTTATTATTATAGTTTTTTAAAACATATACTTATTTTATGTCAACATTTTGTATTTTGATTATATTTTAATTATAACAAGGAAGAAAAAAATGACACTAGCTTTTTATTTATTTTCTATTTTGTCTATGTTTTTTTTTTTTTTTTTTTTTTTTTTTTTTTTTTTTTTTTTCTTAGCACAGCACTTGGATTTTGTATACAACTAACAACCAAATAATATCTATTTTTTTATTTTATTTAACTTTTTTAATATTGTTTTAACAACTTCTGTTTTGTAACTTTCAATTGATAGAAATAAAATTCGTTGTGCGTTCTTCGGACGTTGGAGAGAACGTTTGAATGCAATTAAAAGAGTACGAAAAACGAATTATACAGTTTCTTGATCCCGGTGGTCTCACGCTGACGATGGCTACGTAGTAGGGTGTTTTCAATTTTTAACAGCATTTTGTTGCGCAAATACATATAGCTCGATTGCGATTGATATTCATTAGACATGCGTTGCAGTCGTATTTCAGATTTCTCCATTTATCGTTAAGTTCTTTGACGTTGGGTTACACAAAATTTCAAATTTTGGGGGCGATTGCACAAAAATGTAGTTATCTCGATTCCTCCAACTTTTCTCGATCGTTCCCTTCGCTTAGTGCTTGTGGAACGGTTTGGCTTTTTCTGGGCTAAATTTAGCTATTCTTCTCTGTTTTTTTGGTTTTTTAAACCGCTGTCAGATTGATGCAAACATTCTAAGGAGCTTGTGTTTTAAAGCCCTTGCGTGGAAATTAACTGTTACTTGCGAGAGTCTCTATGTCTCGCTCTCTGCTGCTGTATTTTTTTTTTCAACTTAAAAGCTTTGTCTAGGCAGACTGTGTCAGATATTTGACATTCTCAATTTTTTTGCGACCAAATGGGCTGGCACTTCTATGACTTCGACTTTTTGTTTTCTAGATGATGATTTGACCAATAAAATTATTGGTTTTTCCTCGCTTATGTAAGACTTGTTGCTGTTGTTGCTGGTGAAACACTGTCACAAGGCGCACATTATAGTCGTTGATTGGAGAATAGAGCAAACGAATTCTTCATAAATTTGTCAATCAAAATTTCGCATTTGATTTGGCGATTCTTTTGCGACGTTTGCAACCACTTTTGCGCGTTCTTTATCTTACGAAAACACGCACAAATAATAATTTTATATGTATATTTATATAGAATATTTTGTATCTATAAATTTTTTTGTTTAGCTTTTTCTTAGACACTGTGAGGCACACAACTATTCCAGACGCGTTACAAATGTATTCTGTTTAGCCGATGAATGTGAAAATCGCTGCAAAGCTTTGCTAATATTTTTTGTAGCTTTTTTTTCTTTGCTGCTGCTGCTGCTGTTGCTGCTTCACGTTTAATCGCTGCTCACACAGACGAGAGAGTAACAGCTGCTTTCGTTGTATGCGTATTATTTATAGCAGGCTGTTTCGCATGTGTATGCGTGCGTGCTGTTGGTAGACGGATTTGTTGGTATTGGTGCGCTGATAAAGTTTTTGAAAACCTTCTTTAGGTTTGTATGTGTTATATTTTGTTATATGAGTGTGCGTAAACTGTTAAATATATTTGCTTGTATTAAGTTTTTTAATTAGAGCCTTTTTTAGGTTTTACACACGTAGACAGTCATATAAGTATGTATATGTATATGTTTTTTTTTATAAACTGGTTTTCGAACTGCAGCGCTAATTATTTAAATTTGCATAATATATTTGTTTAATCGAGTTTTATATGTTTATTTAATCGACCGATTTTTATATTTTGCTTGCGCGCAATTTTTAAAATTCAATGTTTTATATTTTTGTCTTTAAGACGTCCATTAACTGTTTTCTATATATTTCGATTGTTGCCAATTTTTATTTTATTTTATTTTATTTTTTTTTTTTCAGATTTCTTTTGAAAATATAAATAATTATATTTTTTGATATTTTCTATATGCCGATTTAATTCTGGTTATAGGAGCACTTTTAATCCGACGAAGCGAGGCTTCGAAAAGCCCAAAAAGACGAGCATTTTGTGTGGCCAGAACCTTGGTCGAGCGGCAACCAACACGGACACGAGGTTAAAATATCAATGAGTTGTGAGTATATTCGCCGATAGCGGGAAACTACAGATACCGTTTCAATTACAGTTCCCGAATTCAATGCAAGCCTCAACGCAAAAACCGAGCGAGCCGAGCCGACGACTGCGATGATCAGCAGAGAAAAAAACAGAAAGACGCCAACAAAAAAAACGGACACGGGACGGCGAGAGATTGAGACTACGACTGCGACGAGAACTGTTACTGCTGCTGCTGCTGCTGCGGCTACTTTAGCTGATTGTTGATCAAGTTGATTGTCACTTGTTGTGTATGGGATGGATGATGCTGCGACTGCGCTGCTGCTGTTGACGCTGACGGTGACGTTCGCTGCTTTACCAATTGAATACAACGTTTGCGCGCTGCGTTTGATTTCTGTTGTTGTTGTTGTTGTTGTTGTTGCTGTTGCTGTTTTGGCTGCTGCTGCACTGCTCAGCTGTTTTGCACGTTTTCTTATCTGCTCTTATTTTGGTTGACAGCTGCACTCTTTTGTTGTTTTCGGTTTCTTTGTGCTTCTTTGCTTTTTTATCAAGCACTTATTTCACTTGCACCCGCATCTGAGATGACAATACTAAAAACACAATAGTTATCTCTTTCACACACACGTGCTGCGCACTTGACTCGTAACTAAATCGACTGCTGCTGTTACGTTTCACTGTGAATGCCGTCGCGAACTACACAATAACAAATTAATTATTTCAAATAGAGCGAAATTTTCCTCGATTTATGTTGATTACGCGCGTCGTACTTGCAATTGAATTCAATTCAATTGGCTTTTATGGTTTAGCTTGTCTGTTCTATWGATGTATGTATGTTAGTTTTGATATGCGTGTGTGAGCTACCCACTCAGAAGCTTTCAATGGCTGCCGATAGCTATTGTTGTTCTCCTTGTTGTTGTTGTTCGTGTTGTCGTTCGCACTTTTGCTGCGCGCGTCGATGACGTATTTTGGTACGCACACGTAATAAAATTGGCACAGGAAAACTGGGAGAGCCTTCAAAAAAGCTCAAACACGATGATTTTGGCTGCCGTGGCGACGCCGCTACGCGCTCTAATTAAATATTATTTTTTGTATCTTTCTGATTAACAAAAAGCGCCGACGTGTAATTGTTGCTGCTACTGCTGCTGGTTATGTTTATTATTGCCTTTTGTTGTTATCGATGTTGTTATTGCTTTAACGCTTATAAATCTTGTTTTGATGTTTTGATTATTAAAACTCGCACAAAACTTGTGTTTTAGCCGATGGGAGCTAACGTACTGATTTTTGTGAGCGGACGTCACACGCTAATATAAATTTTAGCTCTGACTCTACGCTTACCAGCTGACTGACATGAGCAGCTCTCTCTCACTCTTTCGTGCTCGCTGGCATAAGAGCGTGCGGAACGCTGCTCTTTGCACACGCATAAACAGACCTGCCCTCCTCGCACTTGTGCATATGCAAATTTCCTGTGGAATGCAGCATAGAAAAGGAAACTTGTTGTCGTCAAGCGCACGAAGGAGCAGGTGGAAGCAGACGTTGCGCTCTCCAGTTCTACAGCTGTACAAATTAAAACGATTTTCTTTTTCATATATATGTATATTCTTTTTTTTTTTTTTATCGACTGAGCTGCAGTATTAACTGTCAGCGAATTACAGCAACAATTCATAATATCAACAATGAACCTCAACGATCGAGAGAGCAGCAGCGCTTAAGAGCAATGACTAAAAGAGTGGTGAGCGGCTACACCTGCCTCCGAGTTCTTTGTTTGGGTGTGAGCATTGGCGTTATTCTCACTTGTTATTTATATGTGAAATTGCACATGGTATAGCGCGTGAGAGAGAGAAAGAGAGAGAGAGAGAGAGTAATGCGTTAAAAATGTCGAATAGGCTTTTTGGGCTATGCTAATTATGAGCGACGATCAGACGTTAGATTGGATGTGCCTCAAATTCATATCAAGTAACGGTTTTTATGCTCAAATTATAAGTTAACTTTAATACAAATTTGTAGGTCGCAAAAAATTGTGCCCGTTGCCTATTGTTTTATTTCATTTTATTAATTTATTTTTGTTTTTAATTTCTTCAGCTAATTTGCAATAATTATTACTTAGCTATGACATTTTTGTGGGCTTGGGGTTTTTGTCTTCTGGTTTCATTCATAAACTGCGTTATCTTGTGTGTTAATTAAAAATTTAATTGACAAAGGCAGTTTTCAAAAGTCGCCGAAATTGCCCGTCTGGTTTCTGAAACATCTTAATCAATACATATACAGATATCGCAAAAAAAAAATATAGAAACAAAAATTATAAAGCTGGTTTTTTTTCGGTCTAAAGTTAACTTTAATACTTTCCTCCTTGCTCATTTGTCATCAATTGATGGCAATGAGCGATGCCGAATTAAATATTCTTCAATTGTTTTTAAATTGCCATCAATAGCAAGGTTTCAAGTGAAATTAATTTATTTGCACAATGAAAGTCAAAGACGCAATTCGTTGTAATAAATTGTTCCGCTCAGCTCTCATCTCATCTATAGATATTGATCAGAAAACCGTTTCTTTCATGTTATAAAAAAAAAAAATATTTTGACGACTTTGGTCTTAATTAATTTGCCATGTACAAATTTTAGTGGCTTTAATTAGCGGTTGTCAGAAAAAACTCTTTGCTAATTTATAATAATTAGCACAATTTAAGACATTTGTTTTCGTATAGCCATTTATAATTTCGACTGCGACGTTTAAATAAACAAATTAACCAATTTTAAGTTGAAAACGTGTAGCGTTAGATTGTAGGAAAATTATGAGATTTAGTTTTATATATACCACAAACTAGTCATAAATTTTAAAGCATACATAGTTTCTTATTATCCAAAGCGTTATGAGGAATATTTAAATCTTTTGAATTGCGCGCGCTAATCGTTGCTTGCAACAGCGCGTTTACCAGCACTTTCAGCTACAAAACGATAAGCAGCAAATATATCGATAAGCGTGTAAGCAACTATCGTACACCTTAAGCAAAACAACGCGTTTGCAAGAGAAGGCAAACATCGCAAATAAAATAATGGAACTCTCGCCCATTAATCAAATTGAGGACAGGAAACCATTAATTGCCGACGGCTTGGTGCAAACATCAAATTCACCATTTGAGCAACAGACATCAGCAACTACAACAACAACGACAGCAGCGGCAGCGGCAACGGCGGCGGCGGCGGCGACAGCAGCAGCAACAACAGCAACAACAACAGCGACAACGACCATCTCACAGGAGACGCAAACATCGAACGGCATCGGAATCGGCATCGGCGGACCGCTGACAGTTGATCAGCTGGATATCGAAATATTGCCAATCATTTACGATATTGTGCGCTGGTATGTGTGTGTGTGTTGCCAAAAAAATAATATTTATATAAAATGCAGCGTCAACTGCGCAACCAAGAAAATTAAGATACAAGTAAAACTTAGCTTATATAACAAAAATTCTTTGCAGCGTGGAAAAGGATCCCTTGGAGAACGCTGCCAAGCTGCGTGAATCGCAGGACTGCAATCATAAGGTGGGCAAACAAATACCCTGTAATTTACTCAATAACTAAATGAAAACTTTACAGATCTTTGAGCTGCAAAAGCGCTTCGAATCAGCGCGTGAGCAAATCAAGCAGCTGCCGGGCATCGACTACAACAAGGAGGAGCAACTGCAGCGCCTGGAACTGTTGCGCAGCCAGCTAAGGCTCAAACAGCAGCTCATACGCAAATACAAGGATACCGAATTCTAGTTAAAGAAACAAATAAAAAAAAATAAAAACACTCTCACCATGGTTCTGCGACTGATATTGCGCTACTTCGCCAACAACGAGCAGCTCATTCAGCGCATGGCTGACAGCTATCCGATGCGGCGAGCTGCTCAGCTGGTCGTTGCGCTGATGTACCGCTCGAAGAGCTTGGCCAGGGAGCAGGGTCTGCACGAGATGACACCCGAGCGGTTCAAGTGAGTGAAGGCCTTAAATACGAATCTACAATGCCTCTCGACTCAACACATGCACATTTCTCCGTTTCTCTCCACAGATCGTTTGTGAACATGTTTAGGAATAATGTCAAACAGGAACTGGAGGGCGTCAAGAAGGAGCTGAAGAATCAGAAAAAATAAATTAATTATTGTAAATTTCTTAGTAATAGGCTATAAACAATTTGGGCATATACATTAAATTACAAGAGTAAGCAAAATGTTTTTGATTTTTTTTTGTCAATAAATACCAAGATTTGGTATTAATCAACACTGAAGCAGCAGACTTGCTACGTTACTCAATAAAAAAAGTAAGTGTCATTGTAGCATAATTCAGTTTTACCCAATAGATAAGCTAGTGTCATTGCAGAAGGAATCAGTTTGGTTAACATTTAAAATCTTTAAATTTATTATGTAATTTCATAATTTATAATACAAAACAAAAGTTAGGTATCAAGAAAAATTCACTCAATTTTTTATTTAAAAAAAAAAAAATAATTCAATTTTCTTCAGTGTGTTTAGAAACAATATTGATATTTATAATTACGTTTCTCTCAGTGTATATATCTAGCAACTAAATTGAATTTGGCAAACCTTTGTCTTTAGATTGGACGAAAACAAATTAGACATTTATTTATTAGCAAAATTTACACACAAATTGTCACACAGCATACAAAGACGTCTTACCGTGTGCCACCTGTAGCAAAATAGTTATTCTCATCTCTCTTTGTCTGTGTGTCTCTCTTTCTCCCTTCATCCTCTATGCTCTAATCTCCCTATGCTTATTAGTTTCTCTCTTCAAAGTTAACGGTCGCATGTCTCACATTTAGCACAACCGTCAAAATACGAGCTTAACAACTATCAAATTTTGTGTACAAAAAACTTTATCCGCTTCCTTCCTTCTCTTTCTCTTTTTAAAACAGTTTGTGGATTGAAAATTACGGAGTTTTCTAGTTTTGCGTGGTCTCCGGCACGGCATCGAGGGAGCTGGTGCCACCGTTTACGGGCGCCACGGCGGAATTGCTTAGGGCCGGTCGATTGTTTCGTTTCCGCTTGCCGCCTCGACGACTGCCCTCGCGTCGCTCTCCATTCTGTTTGCTGTTGTCCTCGCCATTGTCCTTGCTGCACCCCTGGCCCGCGGCCGAGGAGGACGCGGAGGAGTTGGAGCCCTGGCCATTGTGACGTTGCTGTTGCTGATTGTTACTGCTATTGCTGCTGCCATTGTGTGCCCGCGATTGCATCTTGGCAGGCTTAGGGCGATATGGTGAGGCGGCTGCCTGTGGCATCGGCTGCAGGATGTTGCCAACCGCCTTGGTGCGTCCCTCTCGGAACACCAAACGCTGGCCGGCCCGTATGTACTCCGGCTGTTTGATGAAACGGAACTTCACGCGCGCCTTGTCGCCGGTGCGCAGGCAATCGCAGGACATGCGCACAATCGATGCCGTCTGGCGTATGCTGCCGCAGTGCACCATCGCCTGGTAGCGGGCGGAGATCGTTGTCGGATGATGCAGCACAAGGATTTCGCCTTCGAATTCCCAGCATGCCTGTGGCTTCAGCTCTGGCGCCACCATGACCATGCCCTTGCGCAAATACGTTCGTTTGATCTTCTTCAGCGCAAAGCTCGCCGTCTGGCCACACCGCACACGCTCCACATTCATCCGTTTGCGATGGATGCTCTTGATCGTGATGGGCACAAAGGTGCCCACAGCATTCGGCCCTAGCATTAGATTATCGTTTAGCTTTATGGTGCCCTGCAGGCAGGTGCCGGAGACGACGGTGCCGACGCCTGGCACCGAGTACACATCGTCGATCTGGAACTCTGCCGGCAGATTCTCAGAGCCGGCCATGCGTGTGCTCAACAGATTGAGAAACATTTTGAGCAGCTCCAGATTATCGCCGTTCACATTCGACACCTGAAAGATGGGACAGAGGCGTTCGCTGACGAAATTCGTGGCACTCAGCACAACATCGTCCTGGCTGCGCACCACAACGGGCACCTTGCGGCATCCCTGCGACTTGAGCATCTTGAAGAGCAGCTTCATATTGTCCTGCAGCACATTGGGCGGGCACATATCGATCTTGGTGACCACCACGAAAACGGGCACGGCCAGCGCCAATGCGAGACCCAAGTGCTCCTTGGTCATGCCAATGATGCCAGCATTAGCACCGATCTGTAGAACATAACAGTCAGTTACATAAGTAAATAGATATGTAACGGTTTATCAATCACCATCAGCATGCCAAAGTCGGGCGCATGACCCGTCATGCCAAACACTGTCGTCTTCAGGTATCGCTCGTGTCCCGCCAGGTCAATGAAAGTGATCACCTTCGATGACTTTTCGCAGATCTTCACCCAATCCAGATGGCCATGATCTGGTTTATTCACCACATTACCGACGCCATCGAAGCCCAGTATATCGTTGCCCACCGAACTAGTGCGTCCGCTTTCGATTTCATGCTTATGCCGGAAGAGACGCTGTCGCGCATGGCCACGGCCATTATCCAGCTCACCGTGCGTTAGAACGCCCAATAACGTGGACTTGCCGGCGTCCACATTGCCAACAACAGCCACGCTAGAAAAGAAATGGACAACTTAAGATTTTGTAGACTTGAAGAATTATTTAAGTCTCGAGTCTTACCGTATCTCCATAAAGTCAGTTGTATCGATATGCTTGCGTATGAGCAACTGCGCCGTTTTGCCCTTCTCCACATTCCGTTCGCGCAGCACTACGAGATCAGCATCTATGGCCGTGGCCAGCTGACGCAGCGTGCGCATCGAAGCCTCAAACTGCTCCACAGTCAGTCCACTGTCCCGGCCATCTATAGAGGGAGTTGATTCACATTATTAGAATATATATATTATATTTTAAATCGTTTGTTTTATCACTGTATGTCTATGTACATGTATTTTGAACAAGCGAAACTCCTAGCTCTTGGTCTCTCTTTCGCACTCTCAAGGAGCTTGGGACCGCAAGTCCTCAGTCCTACATGCGTGCGTGTGAGCGAGATGACTCCTGTCTCTCAAAAGCGCTCTCTCAAATTTATATTTGCGCTTAATTAACTAATTGGCATTTTACTATCGAATTTCTCTTCTGCACCTTATAGTTATTTTATATAGTTCAACTTACCCTCGCCCACGCCTATTTCGTAGATGGTCTCGCCACAGCTATCAGAGATGCGATCGAGCAAACGCCGCTTGAGCAGCTCCAGCTGCTCCTCGTTGGGCGCCACGAGCACATCCTTGCCCCGAATGCTGGAGTAGTCGATGCTTAGCTGCTGCGGCTGCTGTGTGGGCACCCCGTCTACGGTGAAGATATTGCTGCGTGCGCTTTTTATGCCCACGCCCACATTTAGGGGCAGCGCTGGTGCGTTCTGTATATTGTTCATGATTGGGTGTCTAACTAAGCTGGGTTACGCTCTATATCCTTGGAATCATTGCCTGACTGTGTGTGTATATGTGTGTGTGTATGTGTACGTGCAAATTATTTCTGCAAGCAAAACGGAACATAAATTTCATTTAGTAAATGTTTACCACAAAGTTGTTAATAGTGTTTTTTTTTTTTATTGGCATGCTAACCTATCCCACTCCCATTTGCCGTGTTGAGTCCGACGTGCGTTGTGTTTGCATTTCACTTGGGTAATGAGAACAAACAATGTAAGAAGCTTCGCTTTTATATGAAATGCTGACGAAACTCATTCGGTGAGTGGCGCAATAGAGTGGATCTTAGTTGCTTGAGTGGGAAGGAGAGATCGCGAGGAAGTTTGCATAGCGATGGGAAAAAAGAGTGCAACTACATGTTGCTGCGAATGTCCCTCCAAAAGGAGAGAGAATGAGAGACCTAGTTGAGGCGCTTGAATTTTCATTCGTAGGCGAAATAACCGTTATAGCGTAAAAATTGTAGTAAAGCGACAGCAGTTGAGGCGAATGGGTGAGGGTTTCACTCAAATACGAAATAGCCGTTATTGTAAGCGCTGCAGACAGAGCGACGACAACGACATTGCCAGAGAACAAGCAGCTAAGCAGCAGCAGCTGGGGACAGTKGAAAATCAGCTGTTCTCGCATAAAGATGACTAGCCAATGGAGCTAGGGGCACATGTACGGATGTGCGCGTGTGTGTATTTCTCTCTATGTGTGTATGTTTGGCAAAGCATAAGACGCTGTTTGTTTATTTTGGTTCTCTTTCGCTGCTAGTTTATGTAAGTCATTTTTGTTGACGTACACAAATAAAAAAGCTCAAACATTGTTTTTGCAATTTGGTTTGGCGTTTCTAATTTTCTTTTGTGCCCCTAAGCGAAAATGCGAAAAAAATTTATTTATAGCGCCCACACGTACGAGTATATGTAGATATATTATGACAAAGTCAAAACAACAATTAATTCTTGCGCCTTTTCTTTTGTTGTGCTTTCTGGTATTTGTTTTGTGCCATTGAATAACAAACTGTAGATCAGCTGGGTGGAAATAGATGTATGCAGATACATCTTGGATGCATATGAAAATCAACTGCGTGGGTTCGTCCAAATTGCAATTAAAAAGTGAAAGGGTAGTTTCATTTTTTGTTGATTCCACAAACTCCTGTTGCGGGCTTTTGGGCTTCTGTATGAACCCCCGCCAAGTTTTTCTTCGTCATTTTACAGTTACTTACAGTTCATGCAGCACTTTGTCGTATTTGCTGTTGCCTTTGTACTTCGCACTAAGCACATTGAATTTGGATAAAAGTGCACTAATATTACATTAATGAGTACATAATTAGTACAATGACTACGAATTGTTTTTCATCTGTCCAAGCCACGTACGATTTTGTAGCGTTGCCAGCGCGCCAAAATATGCGGTGGCAATACTACATGGAACTTATCGATAACAAATAAATTTCAATCGACTATCGTTATCTAAGCAGACCGCAAAATTTTAAGTTAGGAAAAGGGGAAGTGGTTAATATTCTGAAAACCACAACGCTTGAGAGATTAACATGAATTAACATTATTTTGATTAGTTATTAGTTAGCTTATGATTAATTTAATTTTTTATTTTTGTCGCTGCGGTTTGTTCTTATAGCATTGACATTATTTGATAAGCATTCCTTATTGCTAGAACCTTCGGAATTTTTTTATAAATTGTGTAATTTGTAATTAAATGAATATGGTTATGATTCACGGCGAATTTTTTTTTGAACACAAATTTTGCTCGCACTCACACAGTTGTTTGTATGTATGTATGTATGTGTGCAAGTGCGCAAATATATTTTTCACCTTTGCCTTTTTGCTCACTTTATTATATTGTTATATATATATTTTCCTGATAAGTTGCAATAATTTGCCAATCCTATACTTGAAGTTTCCATTTTTTTTTGCAGCGACGTATTTGTCATTTAACTTAAGCGATTTTATAATTCAAAGTTCTTTTTTTTTTCAAACAGCTGTGCACAGAGAGCGAAATGCCAAAAATTTCAATGTCAACAAGTTTTTTTTTTTGTCTGCCGCGTGCTAATACTGCTGCTTCTTCACACTGCCGGTCAAGCCATTCGCACCTTCTCGCTCTCCAGCACAAAAGGCGTTGCTAGGCATAATGGTATGGCACACACATTTTTTTACACTCGGAGTCAAACATTGATGTAAATATGCGTGCACGTGTGTGCGTGTGCTTTTTTTTCCGGCATAGCATGAGTTATGCAAGCCAGAAATAAATGTCTTACAAAATGAATGTTTTTTTTTTTTACAGTTCTTTTTTAATATATATATATGTATGATAGTCTAAAAAAATAGTTTTTTTATTATAAAAATGTTTTTAACAATTTTGGTACAATTTTCATCGTGTTGCATCATTCGTAGTGATTTAATCCAAAAGCGTTATATGTGAATGGGTATGTGTGTGTGTGTCAGAGTGTCTGTGTGAATATTTTAGGGCGGGCGGGCCACAAAAGTCAGCTGAAGTTGTCTGGCTTTGTTCTTTAAATACATATGTATGTAAATATCATATGTAATAATGCTCAGCTAATTAGGGGTGGGTGGGGGAAAACATAATGATAATGCTAAAAATATATTTAACATGCTTTCCTTCCTATTCGGTTGCTGCTCCCGCGCACACAACTGGCAATGACTTCTCTGGAGTGTTTTCTTTTTTGTCGTCTTCGTCCATCACTTCGCATATGCATTCATTCACAATATAAGTCTGTGTGTGTGTATATATGGAAAAACTGTAAAACTATGAATTTGTATATGTACATACATATATTATGAATTTATATATAGAAACATATATATGTTGTCTGTGGGAGGCAAAACAAGGGACTGCGGCGGCATATTGATGTGAGTGGAAACGGACATGCTTTCATTTTTAGTTTAGTGGAAACGGGCTTGTTTTTTTTTTTGTGTAGTGGAAACGTGCTTTAATCGCTTTGCAAATACATTTTTGTTGTACATTTTTAGTTGTTGTTGTTACTGCTACGGCGCGCTTCCAACTATAACTAATTTATTTAGTTGATTTTATAATTTTTTTGTTGTTTAAGTTTTGAAAATACCCTTAATATATTAATATAATTATTATATTTTATGTGTTCTGTTCTCAGCGCTCACTTGGGATGCCTTTATTTGTTGTATAGTAATTTGTTTTCTTTGTGTGTGTGTAAGGTCTGGGTGTGTGTGTGTGTGTGTATGTGTAGCATGACCCCCATTTGAAAAGAAGTAGTTGTAATTGTCGTCCACTTGCTTCTACTTCTGTTCGTATGTATGTGTGTGTTTTACGTTTTTAATGCGTTCGTGTGTGTGTGTGTTGTGTAGGTTGATTGGCTGGGTTTAGGCAGATGCCGCAACTTCACCAGATTTCTTGGCGGCATCAGCAGTGGCGGTTCCAGCAATGGCTACCTCCTCAAAGTTCTCAACCAGATCGGGCACATCATCGTCGCCGGCATCCGCCGATGCACCAGCACCGACACCAGCCGCACCGCCGCCAGCCGCATTGCTCTTGCTGGCAATCTCAGAGGCAATCTTCTTCAGCTGATTGATGTCCTGGGGACCCAATTGCGTGAGAATGCCGGGCAACATCTCAGAGATCGTCTTATTCTCGCCATGGCCGGTAATGGCGAACGTGTTGGTTGGTAGCGATGCCTGCGCCTTTGGGTTGTTGAAATGGATGACGGTTCCATCGTTTTTGATAATATTCACTTCCTCAATGCCGGGTATGGTATTGACCGATAGCTTTTTCAACGATGACTGCAACTTCTTGTCATCAGTGGCCGGGGTCGAGTGCACAATCTTCTTCTTGCGACGTGGGGTACCCTTGCCGCCAATGCGCACCTGCGCCTGCAACTTCTTCAGCTTCTCTGGATTCATTTCTGTAAGACACACACAAGGCAGAGCGCGCGCACAAATACACACAATTGCCCAAAGAAAATGTTGCACAATGTTTAGTTTTTTTGGGGAAAATTTTTGTTGTTGAGTTTGTAATGTTATGAAATATACTGTTGAAATTACTTTGATATTACTATAATTTAGCACAGAGCTTAGCCCGAAAAACACGTGCGCCCAGTTGTACTCAAATGTCAAAAAGAAATCGCCATGATAAAAATGGCAAAGCAGTATGTATAAGTGTGTAGTACTGTTAACAAACACTAAACTCGGTGTTTTATATCGATGAAATGTGCTTAACTCAATAAAAATGGCTAAGCGCTTATTTTGTAGGCTTCAAGAATATACAAAAAATATATTTTAATTTGTATTGAAGAGAAAACAATAAATTTTCTCATTAAATTCGCGATTTTTTCAGTTTTCTTTGCCCACCAACTATCGATAGGCAATCAGCTGTTTTTGTGGTTACTAAACACAGCGCGCCAATTAAGTGTTGGCTAGCGCTGCAGCTGCGATGGGTGTTTTAACGCACGGCAACGCTGATAGCCTACAAGAGTTAAGATTAGTAATCGCATTTCTCATAGATAAGATAACACATATTAGTGAGTTTATTTAATTCAACGAAGTACGAAATCACGGTGTGTGCATATACTAAGCTTCGAAATCCTTCACGTGTGTGCAATTTAGTGTCCAAACGCCAGTCTGAAAGTCAACAATAGAAAATAACTGCAACAAGTGGAAGAGTTTATAAATTATTAATCAGAAATTCAATTTGACAAACAAAAATAAAGACCGTCTGTGTTGCGTGCACCACGATAAGGCTTTAAACGTAAGTTTGGCATGCATTGACTACATCAATTTTTGAAATTAATTGCCGTTTGCTAATTGCAGTGGAGAGTTGGGACAGTGATTTTGATTTTGATAGTTTTGACGATTTCGCCATGGATTTCTGGGGGATTTTCATGTTTTTCCTGTTAACGTTTCTCATAATGAGCTGTTGCGGCTACTGCTGTACGACCAAGCGTCGAGGCACTGTGCTCTCAAGTAAGTACATGGATTTTCCCTTATTCAAATTAATAGCATTTGTATATTGACATGACTCACGCATACATAAACAGAGTAGCACACACTCACGCATATACTTATACACACACGGACATACATACGTATATAGTATATGTAATGTGCATATGATGTGCTGCCTTTAATATAACTTCTATGATTCATCATATTTATTTTCATTAAGCCTGTACGTAATTCTATAAATCTTTTTTTTTTTTTCAATTAACTTTTATTGACGTCTGTTTAAATGAGTTTTAAATACCATTTTTTTTTTTCAAATCGTTTTGCACAGTTTCTTTGTTGTTGTTTTGTGCATTTTCTTTGACCGGCTCATTCGTAAACAAACAAAAGTTTGTGACTTTTTATCTGATTTAAATCAATTTGGGGAATATATATATTTACGGTATTACATATATACGTACATATATTTATATGTATTATGTATTGTCTCCAGGCCAATGAGTAATATCTTTCTAATTATTGTGTTTTATCTTATCAGTATCGCCTGACAACGCGTTTTGTCTTTGCTTTATGTTTGTTTATAGTTTCTCTATAATTATTATTACATTTTTAATATATTTGTATTCATTTATTATAAATTTACAAATTAATAATAATATACAAATTGAAAAAAAAAAAAAATTTAAAAATTATAACCAAAACATGCTAATAGCCAAAAAAAATAATAAGTGTTAAATTATAATGATTCTAAATTATAATGATAATTAGCAAATGTGTTAGTACTAGACATTCAGTTATACAGGAATATTTACTATTTCCATAGTCATTAAAACTGCGATTCAAATCAAACAACCCTAATATATGTTATATATATAAATTCCAAAATATTTCCCTACAAAATTTGCATTTGAATCAATTATTTTTTCCTATGATTAAAAAAGTATAGGGTATTATCTATAAATTTATATGTATATATACATAAAGACCTATAAATATATATATTTTTTGCGACTATAGATAAATTAAAATATGAAAAACATGATTCAGTGCACGTTAAACTTTCAAAGCTGATTGAATAGAGTTTTCTTTTACCTGAAGTTACCCGAGATTGTGTGCTCCTCACTATGGTTTATATATATTGTGATGTTTGGATACCCATTGTGGTTGTCTTCTCTGTTTTTATGATTATTATTATACTGCGTATAATGCGATCGCGCCGTAATCGTGTACAGGCAGCTACAGTGATCTCTAGCGGTAAGCGAACAGACAGACAAGAGTAAAAAGCTTTTAAGAGTAATTTGTGTGCTCTAATCTAATCTCTCGAAAAGATAAGGAATATG